CAGTGCTCGCCTTAGGAACGATGAAAGTGTGGTATGAACTGAAATATGGTCTGGCAAAGTATATCCTACCGCAACTCAAGAACCTCCTTTTGGATGAAGCGTTGGACACTGGTGGAGTTGGCGAAATTGGCGAGATGGTTGCTCGCATTCTGCTGCTTCTAGCGATGGACACGTGTGTGATGGGGGACAAAGATTTTTCCCAGTGCTACCATACGATCGGGCAATTTGTACCGGTGCAGGATTTCTTGAACGTGCTAACAGGCCACGAGGAGATGTCGATATATCTCGAGAAGATGATCAGCAAGGAGAATTTGAGACCAGAATTCAACAAGTGGTGCTCGAAGTGGGATGGTTGGTACGTGGGGTTCACCCACTTTGTGCAGTTGCAGCTCGAGCCGAATGAGGACACGCTTTGGTTTTTGCTGGGACGTCAGGCTGCAGGTATTTTCCCCCGTAACCAGTATGGAGCCGATTTGTTGATCCCGATGTTTAAGAAGAGATCCAACAGCAGGCCAGTCGGTGGGGAGACTACGAGGGGTGAACAAGAGGAGCATAAGGTGTTGATGATGTTGATTCAAGTGAAGAATCGTTTCCCAGTCGATGGTGGGTTTTCCAGGGCAGCGACGGAGAAACTATGCCCCTGGTTTGTGTTCGGAAAGAACAGTGATGGGAACTCGTCAGCGGGGAAATCTACCGGTGAAATTGGTGGGGATCCGAAACCGCTGGGTTCCACGGATGTCCGTGATACCATTCGCATCTACATGAATGTGCGCGGTCGGAAGAGTGACGGCAAGTTCATCTATGCCACGACAATGAAAGACAATCTTAAGCCCAAGAAGAAAGGCAACGCCTCTGAGGTGAAGGAGGAGAGTCAGACGATCGGGAGTCAGGCGAAGAAGCGGGCGAAGATCGAGAGCAATCCTGGCGTCTCAAGTGTGTCGAGTGTCTCGGAGGAGGAGCCTGTTTTCACGATCTGCCTCCGTTTGCTCAACAGGGTCACCTACCCGTTCCTGAGCGACGGCGTGGCTTCCATGCTATCAAACATGGTGGAGTCTCAGTATGACCCGCTGGGGCTTGTGGAGGGCGACCTGGACTATCGCGATGAAGATGAAAAACGAAACAAGGACGTTAGTTCGTATGCAAAGTTGTCGCTTACCGCGAAGCGCGACAAGTTGTTGCAGAACGCCCGTAAAGCACTAGCGTACGCGCCGGGTGACAAGGAAGAAGAGTGACGATGAGAGTGACGTTGGTGGCAGTGGTGAGGGCCACTAGGCGATCAAGGTGGCGAGACGGAAACATCCAAGAAACGAGCACGTGAAAACCAAGAGGATGAAGAAGCCGTCCCACTAAACGCGCCAAGTGATCCAACAAGACGCCCAAGCCCACACGGAGGCAGTAACAGTACGTGCCTGGTGCCTGCAGCAACTAGTTTTAACTACCAACAATTTGTTTTACTTGAGAGTACGCAGCCACCTCCAGTGCGCTTCACCTTGCAGTCTTACGGAAGTAGCACGTCTTTTGCTGTCTACGTCGTCTTTACTGCTCTACCTACTCGTCCTGCAGGAACGGGTATTATAGTCCGTGTACCCGCGCGCGTCGCCGAGGTAGAACGTGTCCGTGTCGTAGTCGTTCACGGGCTTGTTGAGTTGGAAGCGCCGCACCAGGTCCGGGTTCGAGATGAAGTGGCGGCCGATGGCCACGGCGTCGGCCGCGCCCTCCTCCACGATCTGCACGGCCGACTGCCGGTCGAAGCCCGACGCGGCGAGGAGCACGCCCTTGTACGTCTCGCGGAACTGCCGCGCCGAGCCCTTCTCGGGTGCCAGCGGGTCACGCACGTGGTAGCCACGCGGCTCGATCAGGTGCGCGTAGGCCAGGTCGTAGTTGTTGAGCCTGTTCAGCACGTACGTGTAGGTGGCGACGGGGTCCGAGTCCTTGTCGCCGAAGCTGCCGCCGAACGGGGACAGTCGGATGCCCACCTTAGACGAGTCCGGACTCTCGAGGATGGCCTCCAGTGCCTCGAACAGGAAACGCGCGCGGTTCTCGACGCTGCCGCCGTACTGGTCGGCGCGGTCGTTGATGCCGTCGTGCAGGAACTGCTCCAGCAAGTAGCCGTTGGCGGCGTGCAGCTCGACGCCGTCGAAGCCCGCGCTGATGGCGTTCTCCGCGGCCGAGCGGTAGTCCGCCACGATGCCCGGGATCTCGCTCGTCTCGAGCGCGCGCGGCGGCACGGGCTCCATGCGTCCTTCGCGCGTGACGATCTTCTTGCCGGCGCGCAGGACGCCGCCCGGCTGGGGCCGATGCGGCCCGTGTGGTCGTATCTTACCTATGGTATGTACCGCATCGCTGAAGTTATTGTTCGCACATTTATTAATACCATAAAGCGCACTAAACACTTGGTGGCAATTTGGCCGGACTTCCGAGACAACACTAGGAGGATTCTGGAAGCAAAACTCGGGCATTATTTTCAAGAAGAAATACTCTACTTTTGATACGTAGCCATGTATTTACCAAACTACGCACTGTACGGGACTAGACTTGATTGAAATTTGTGACTGGGTTTGGCGGTGCTTTCCAATACAAACATCAAGTATAAAGGATTTGTATTGACCCGGAAAAAAATCGATCGAGTTTTCTGGTACATGTTGCTGAACTGAGCAAGCCCAGCATCGCTACCATGTTGAATAGACGCCAATGAAGACACTAGTCAGCTGACAGCCTCAACTTACGAGTATAGACCTCTCCACACTGTCAAACACCACTCTTCTATACAAATTCAAGATAGTGCGTGTCTCCATTGAATCTTATCAACCGCGTCAGCTTAACCTTATTTGAGCAGCTTACTACAGTGAAGTGCGTCGATAAGGAACGGGCGACATTTTATATTCTACGACAAGACATGAATCCTCGCTTGTACCCATTGTGTGCCAATTGTACTGAATTAGTTATATGATTCTACCAATCATTCGGTCCCGTTTAACATTCCGCCAATCACAGTTCCGAAACCGAGCCTCAAGAGCGGCTGGATGGAGCGGCTCCCAAGTCGGGGGAAATGGAACCTAAAGGTCGCGAGAGGGAATCATGAGCATGAGGATCGCTGTGAGCGCGGGAATCGCGCCAGGTACATGTCTGCATGCCTCATTAACCAACTTTCGCTCTGCTGCTCACAACTCCCATGGTGACCGCCACTTCCAGACCGTTCCAGAGGTGGCTACGTCTGACCAAGCTTCAGCCGCTGCTAATCTGTCATCGCCGTCGTGATCTACCGGGTGCTACCTATGCTGAGTTGGCTGCGTGGGTTCAAGCCTAGACTCTGGTCGCGAAGTCCGACATGAACTACATATTGCAGTAAATCAGTGCATTTGCTGTCTGCATGTGACGAGTCAAACCTTTAATTATCAATATACCTTTTTCTTTCAATGTATATCAGGCGTTCCTTATCGACGCACTTTACTGTACCGGTAGGCGTTATTCGAGCTGTTCAATGGTTAAGCCTCATGTCTACAAAACTGCGAAAAAGACGTCTACTCAGATGCCAGCAAACGGCTTCATCGCTCCGTTCGACCTGAAGCTGGATCGACTGATTGAAGGCGGAAACGTTGGCGGGAACTACCGTGCCAAGTGGCTAGACGTCGATGTTGCAGTCAAACTGTTTGTTCTAGACGCCAGCACGACAACATTCGCAGACGAAGTGGCAGCGTGGCACCAGCTGCGCCACCCGAATGTGATCAGCTGTACGGCGCGTGCGATGTCGGTCACCACTTCTTCGTCTGTGAGTGGGCCAGCAACGGAACTCTCGTTGAATATCTTCGTGAATGCGAGAAGCGTGGGAAATATCGCACGCCGTGGAAGTTTTTGTATGAAGCTGCGTTGGGCCTCGCGTACTTGCATGAACGCAAAATCGTGCACGGGAACTTGTGCAGCAACAGTATTTTGATCGGAAGTGATGGTTTGGCCAAGCTGGCGGATTTTGGAGTGAGTGGCTTGATTTTAGACGGGTATGGCTCCGTTCGCTGGCAATCTCCTGAGCAGGTACGAGGGGAGGAAGTGTCGTTAGCTTCCGACAGTTATTCCTTGTATCTCTGTGCTGTGGAAGCGGTAACGGGGGAGGTCCCGCGGGGACGCATCGATGATGATAGCATTTGCAAGATGTGGAAGGCGGAGTGGAACGCGGATAACGACTTTTACAGTCCTGCCCAATCCGGACGTACGGCTGATCTTTCTGCGTTGGCACCCAAAATGTGCGGTAATGATCCTAATACACGGGTGTCTGCTTCAGTAGTGGTTCAAATGCTGGAGCGCTTAGCAGCTCAAGAATTCCAGGGACAGCAACGAGTGCAGTCAAACCCGGAGCCACTCGAACACATCGACGACTATAAATGCGGAGATTTGTTGTACCAATGGCAAAAATTGGGAGCCTTAGCATCCAATGTTGAGCTCAGTCAGCCCCAGCACGCTGTTATTAATGAGCTGGAAACACTCTATGAGAGCTTAGGCAACGCAAATCGACAGCTAAAGGTGCTGGATCAATTCTACAAGCTTGTCATGGATTGCATTTGCGCAATTGACGTGGAGTCTCAACAAAACCGGATCCTTCGACTCTCGTCCACTCGAGCTCAGGGAAGCAACATCGCCGCTGCATAACGACGCATTGATGCTATTTGGGCTGCGATTGACGACCCTCGTTCCATCAGCGAAGAGCAAAAACTGCGTCGAGAGGAGCAGCACGCGATGCAGATGAAAGCATTTGTTTCGGTCTCGCAGACGCTAATAATTTTGGACGAGTTAAAGACGGAAGATGAACGCAACATCTTCGTGGCATTCCTGAAGAGAGAGATCGACTGTCACAGCTCCGCGTACTCGGCAGGTCAACTGACCGTACTCAAGAAGGCTCACGCTGACATCAGTGCACGGCTCCAGTCAGACGCGGTGGTATCGACTCCCAAGTGGTTTCTACCTTGGTACGAATTGGAGTTTGACGGCGCGAGTTACCTGGCGGAAGGAGCGTTCGGTACAGTTTACCGCGCGAAGTGGCTCGAGTCCGACGTGGTCGTGAAGCAACTTAAGCGGACAAAGTCGAGCGATGAGTGGGCTGATGACAGCTTGTTGGCTTCGACTCCTGAAACAGACAGTAAGAGACAGGCACGCACGGAGACTCGAGAGATGTTTGACCGTGAGGTCAAGGTCTGGTTCGGTTTGAGTCATCCGCATGTTGTTCGTCTGTTTGGCGCCTGTCACATTGGAACCCCTTCTTCGCTTGTGAGTACGCAAGCAACGGGTCACTGGATAAATATCTGCGCAAAATCCCCATGAGATATGGCAAAAGCTGCACGAGGCTGCCCTACCTCCACTCACGCGGCCAAACCCATCGCGACCTAAAATGCAACAACATTGTTGTCGGCGGTGATAACAAGGCCAAGGTGACGGATTTCGGACTGAGCTCTGCCAATGTCGTAACTGGTGCGTGGCGCTGGGTAGCACCCGAGTGTCTAAAGGAAGGATCCTCGGCGCTGTCACTTGCATCCGACATCTACGCGTTCGGAATGTGCATCGTGGAGGCTTTGCGCGTTGTGGAGATTGCTGCCATGAAGGATAACCAGAACGGTCGTACTCCACTTCCATGGGGGATTCTTGATAATTGTGCAGTCAAGCATCGTGTGACAGTTTTTAGGGAGCTGCCGTGTCGCCCGCAGATTTGTACGAAGGAGCAATGGGAGCTGGTGAAGCGTATGTGCGCGTATGAGCGAGCGGATCGAATCAAGATCAGTACGGTGGTGGACGAGCTCGCCGCTCTGACAGATGTGGACTCAGCTCTAGAGCCTGAACCAGAGTCAGCGAAACTCTCAAGAGAGCAAGTCGCCGGGCTATTTGAAGGAATGAAGCGCTGCTGTCGTCTTGAGAACCCGGGAGCGCTCTCCACGAACCAAGTTGTGCTGCGTTCGGTGTATGGTCTTCTGTGGGATCGGCTGAAGGACCTGTGCGCTACAGGGAAATGTGGATCTGGAGTTTTTGATCAGATTGAAGCGCTTGTTGGCCGCGCTCGGGTGAGCACACAGCGACTGGAACAATGCCCTGAAACACTTACTGCTTTCACCGAGAACGCAATGAATGGGTACGCTCTGCATCGTGAGCTGGATAAAGCTGTCGACGCCACTTCTGGCGAGTTAACTCTGCAAGTGGAGAAGAACTGCACGACTGGAGGTCAAAATGCTACGCAGTTCTGGGAGCACCAGGGTTTCAGGAACACATTGGTCATTCAAAGTAAGCAATTCAGGCAGGTCGAGGCTATAGCAAGCTTATATTTTTCAGCATCGAACAGTATACACTCTACAAACTGTAAATTGTCTGTCTGTACAAGCAACCATAACTGCCCAGTTCTACTGTAGCGGGTTTTTGAGTGAGCAGAAGAGGTCGTCCGACAAAACGGCACTAATTGGGAGAAGTTATCCTTCACTTTCGAGTAACAAGTAAAAACATTTGAGTTTACACCCTGTATCAATTTGCAACTACTGACTCCACTTTAATAAAAAGATGTTGCTTTTTTTGATGACATTCATGAGCATGAATAAGGTGCTGCAGACACTTAGCCCTCATGAAGCACTACAGTGACGCCGCGTTGTTTCGCAGTTCGAAGAACTGTCGATTGGGGAAGGTTTTTGGATGACATTCGCGCTACATTCGTAGCTTCCGGATGACATTGAACAACATTTATGCTTCACGGGACCGTCGGCATATCTCCAATCAACATAGCGATCTGATGGATCGATTGATCGATATATACACCTTTTCTCGGTCTACCTGAGCTAATTAGACAAGCAAAGGTGGCATGTTTTAGTTTGGTGTGCACAAGAAGCCCAAATTAGGAAACGGAAATCTGAAATTGACAAACAAAGCTGCCTAACCTTCATTCAATGTCAAATGGTACAGTGTACCAAAAACGCTACTCGCCGTACTTCATGTCCTCCATGCGGATCGCCGCGACGACAAAATTCGCTGCGTGAAGCTCCATCCTCTGCACCATCGCCTGCGTGATGCGCGGCATGCTCACATGCACAGCACGCTCGAGCAGCTGCATGCGAGCTTCGGTCTTTGAGATGCGTGGCCCGGAGCTTGTAGGCTGCGTTCGGGGGCGGTTCATCTCGTCGCGCATCAGCGCCAGGTACTGCTTGATGTGCGCCTTGAGAGCGCTGAAGCAGTTTTCAATTGACTTGCACATCGAGCTGTAAGGCCCGAGGCGCAGTAGGACGAGGTCGTCATGAGCAGGCACCAGCGCTTCCGTCTGGGAATGCGCTGGGGCGTTGTCGAAGACGACAACGATCTTCTTGTCGGCGAACTCGTTCTTGTAGACGAAGTGTCGTCGCCCTCGTCGCCGGCGCTACTCTTCTTGTCGTCGTCCGTGGGGTCGTTGGCGCCCGAACTGCGGTCTTCGTCGGCCTCGTGGTCGTCCTGCTCTTCGTCGTCATCCTGATCTGGGTCGGCCTCGGTCTCGGGCAGATGCTCGTCCAACTCGTCGCGCACGCCGTCGTCCTCCTCGTCGAGATCTGGCGTCGGGGGCAGCACCGTGAACATGTCTTCGTCGTCCTCGAAGTCCGAGTAGTCGTTGCGCTGCTCCTTGTCCTCGTCGTACGCCTTCTGGGCAGGGAACGGTTGCTTGCCCTTCTTCATGAGCGGCTTGAGCTTCTTGGCGAGGGCTCGGATGCGAGCGTCCCCCAGCAGAACCTTCCAGGTGCCGGCGCTCTTGTTGCCGACCCACCACGGGTTAGGCGGGCTGCCGCCGGTGACGTCGATGACGATGCGGGCGAGGGCTTCGTCGCTGAGGCGAAGGTGCGCTGGCTTGGTCAGGTTCAGCGCGTCCGTCTGCTCGAAGAGATCGGAGATGGACTGGTAGCCGTCCTCGTCCACACGGTACGGATCAAGGGCACGGGCGGTGATGGCGTCGTAGCGGCCACGGTCGTTGCGGAACAGCGTGGCGAGGTCCGTCGCCGCCGTCGCATCCGAGTTAACCTTCGCGTTCGCCTTCGCGGCCACCGAGCGCCAAGCTGCCTTGCCGCCTAGCCACATGAGGTTGTCGTGGGTGGCGTTCTCGAAGACGTTCAGAAAGTTGTAGAAGCCGAGCTCGACGATGTTCAGGCTGATGAAGGCGAGCCGTGCCTGGCCGGTGTTCGACTTCTTCTTGCGGCGGGCCGTGCACTCGCCAGAAGGCGCGTACAGCGCGCAGGCGAAGAAGACGTCGCGCCAGTGCATCCAGACGCGCCAGTGCGCCACGTGCAGCGCAGGGTGCTCCTGAGGGTCATACCAGGCACGCTGACCGGCCCACGGGTACGCCATGCGCGGAGGAGTCTTGCCCTGGGTGCCCGCCTGCTTGATGATCTTGGAGATGTCGCGACGGATGGTGACCGGGCACTTGGCGGGTAGCGGAAACTCGTACTCCTCCGCGCTGTCGCCCTCGGGGGCACCCTCCTCGTCGTCTGCGTCGTCTTCGTCTTGGTCCTGAGCCCTGGACTTGCGCTGCTTCTTGGACGGAGGGGGCTATGAGACGCTCCTAGTGGTCGGTCGCTAGCCAGACGAGCGTGCCTACGGCGCGGGTACGGTGAACAGGTCATGCGGGGGCGCAGCGACGACGTGCAGCGAGTCGGGTAGCGGCAGCAGGGTCACGGTCTCTAGTAGCTCGACGGGAAAGAGCGTGTCGTTGGCTAAGACGCCGACGGCGACGGCATCCACGGCGTCCACGTTCGCGGAGCCGCTGTTGGCGAAGAGCGTAGCGCGCAGGCGTACGTAGAATTCCACTTGGGCACGGAGCTGGGCATCGGCTTCAGCGTCCGCGCCCCGGGACCGGCGATCGAGGCGTGCGCGCAGCCGTCGCATGACGGCCTCCTTGTTGACATCTCGCGACTTCGCCATGGCGGAAGGTGGTGGCTGAGGCTTCTTGGGAGTCTTGTTCTCTTCTCGGCGAAAGCTGAAATGAGGGCGAGACTGCGAGTTGCCGCGGCCTCTGCTGATGCGTTCCGACCTGGTAGTTTGGACGTTTGGCTGCGGATTTCCCTTCCTGGAAATGGGAGAGGCACGGTTGGCGTGAGACGGTCGAGTGATTGACTAAGTTGATTGACGAGACTTGCGACGGTGGGTTACCCGATACGGTTGGACACATACGAGGATGGTTGTGAACATGGAGTGCTGTGGATGACCGTGAGGAGCGAACCGAGGCGAGGGCATTTCGCTTTCGTCTCCATGACGAACATGGAAACCGTGACGGACGTTTTCGAGTGGTGCCTGGGGCACTCCCTGTTCGTGTGGAAGATTGTGTGGTGGGTGCTGCGCAAACACTGGCCGGCCGTATTGCTGGTGCTGATTGGTGCGGTGGGCGGCGTGATCTCGAGATCCTTGTGGAGCATTGCGGGGCGATTGATCGGGGCCGTGTTCGGCTTTGTGTTCAAGTGGCTGACACTGTTGAAGGTATGCGTAAGACGGTACCGTCTCTTCGTGAACGGTCCGTCTGTGCAAGGCAGACCGTCCGCGGAGCGTCGATGGAAGGCGTTTGAGGCAATCTGGGCCACGCCCATGGTGGTGCTCGAGGCCCGAGGTGAACATAAGGATGGGCGTGCGGACGGGTGCGTCGGGAAACCGAAGCCGGTGCGTACCCTGAGTGGGCTGAGGGCGGAGCAGCGTGCCCTGCACGCGAAGATGAAGGCAGACAAGGAGGAAGAGGACGCTCGACGAGGACGTCGAGTCTCAGTCGGGGAGGATGTCCCGAGTGGGAACGGTGGTCACCGTCTCGGGTACGGTCGCGGCCGTCCTCTGGCAGCCTGTCAATCAGCGCGTGGACTACTACTCGAGGATCAGCTGTTCGAGGATGAGCTGACTGAGCAGTCATCGGACTTTAGCGAGGATTAGCTGGCGGCGGGCCAGTTGCGTGGACGAAGAGTCGTGACGGAAGCAGTGGCGTGTTCCGCGAGTAGGCGGTGGCGTGAGGAGACAGGATGGAGGTCACGAGCGCTGCGTGGCTCGGGGCGTGAGCCTTGACGTGAGCCAAGGGCGGAGGGGTGAAAGGAGGTGACCATGGGTTCGTGTGCGGCGGTGTGTCGACGCTCAAGTTGAAGAGAAGCAAGAGAGAGTGCGGGGCAAAGTGCTCCGTGCCGGGTAGGTTGGTCAGTCGTGAATTTGCCGTGGAAACAACAAGTTAAATCTTTGCATTTGGCTCTGTTGTATTTCATACCGTTCCTTACCTGTCCGTACCGTCCTACTTCGTTCTCGCAGCGGCAGCCGTCTCTTCCAGGGCGACTCGCGACATAGTAACTAAGTGACAATACACGTCTTCAAGAAAAAGAAAAAAATTCAAAGCCTGTTCTTGCTGGGAAGTCTTTTTTTACTTAATACTAGTAGTAAATACAGTATCTTTCCATATATTCTTAGCTCAGCATCACACCAACGTGTGTGCGAACTGAATTTCTCTATCATATGCATTTCGTAAGCATCACGTCGACACATATTGCAGCATTAATACCCCCCAACCAGTGATGTCAGCTTCTTGCCACGTTATCGTCCACTAACCGCGCTTCTTGACTCGAATATTGTGTTATATCAAACCATGTGCTGGCAAAACCGCTAACCACAGGCATCTTCTGCGCCTGCTTTGCAGCCGCAGCATCTGCGAATATTAGAACCGTCCATAGAGTTGTGGCTTAACCCCCAACGCGCAGTTGCACAAGTTGTCGCCAACTACTGTACCGGACACTAAAGTATATAACGGGTTCTATGCTAACGCCAACTAGAAGCACACGCGTTCACTTTACTTACTTCGAACGAAGTATAGTTTTCGATTGTGTCACATCGGCATACTGCATCTGAGAGTCTTTCTTCTAAACTATCTGTCTGAGAACAACCAATGCAGAACTTGCACTTTCAGGATAAAACAAATACTAGTAGAAAAATGGTCTCCCAGACAATGCGCAGCAACCTTGTGAAAACATAGACCTTGTGTACAACGCGCTGAATTCTCGCTGGTGTTACCGGTCAGTGCCTAAATTGCACAGGACGTCAACGCTTCTTTTTTTTACAGCACGCTGCCGCCCTATCACTATCGCCAGACCCTAAAATTACGAGGATTGAACGCACCCACAGCTACGTAAATTGTTGTTTTTCGTAATTTTCCCAGAATTGTCGCGTGGCATTACCTCACACAAAATCCTTTAGCTATCCCAGCCTACGCATAGCTCTCGTATCCCCAGATGCGTATTAGATGTGACGAGCTGATTAATATCACAAGCCGTAAAACCTAGATCAATTCTCAGCACAACATTTAATGTTGCAGTCGCGTACGTAGCCTTGCCACATGCACAACAGATCTCGATGGAGATTTGAGATTAGCCAATAGGCTCGCTCGCATTTTATCCCCAGACACCGACGGAGATACAGACAACGACGGAAAAATCCGGCGTGACTGACTGCCATCCTCCATAGTTAAGGAGTGTAACACAAAATACGGCACAGATAAAAAAGAAAAACATGATTGGCTAAAAGGTTGCGTAACTGTTCAAAAACAAAGCACAAATCCGAATGTTCTGCAAAAAAGCTGCATTTTATTCAAATGCTAATCTCAGGATACTGAGGAATAGCTGCCTTAAAGCTCCGAATTACAGTGCTTTCGGGGATTGCATCCCAAGCAGCAATCGTAGCGTGAACGGCACGGAGCCGCTTTTCCTTAGCACTGCCACCCGTGATGCCAGACCAGTTCGAGCGCAACTTTGCCTTTAGTGGCCCCATTACACCGACATCCAGCGGCTGGCAAGCAGTCGTGCTGTTTGCGGGTAGAGGGACCACAGTAGCATTAGCAACTTCGGCAACGACCCGCTGCCCCTCTTCCGACACATGACACTCAAAGTTGTCAAAAAGGAGGACAGCGGGTCCATCAACTTCATATTTTAACAATTTTTCTACGTAAAAACGCCACGTAACAGCGTCCATCCAAGCGTTCTCTTGGACGGTGTCGAAGTGCCCTTCCGGATACTCTTCGAACTCAAACTTACCATCAGCTCGAATCGTGAGCACAGCCGTCATGCGGCCGGTGTGCTTGGACGTGCTCGCAATCCGCGCAGCGTCCCGCCGACCTCTACCCGCCCACATCCGAGCCGGAGGCATGTAAAATGGATGGCAGTCTCGTCCACGTTGTACATGCCCTCCGGCCCGTACGCGGCGTGCGTCTTCCAGAAGTCCAGCGCGAACTCGGTGCACGTTTGCTCTAGCTCCTCGGTGCTTTTCTTTGCCGTTTGTGGCTTCTGGGAGGTAAAACCATGCCTAAACACGCAAATAAAGGTAAATGTTAGGAAACTGATGGAGTTTTAGCAAAAACAAAATTATTTACCGAATTGCGAGTCTCTCGACCATGCGCTCAAGCGCCAGGATGTCCCTCCACTTCCTTTGCAAGTAGTCTCGACCCACTCGGTCTCGATTGCCCACATGAAGGACATAATGCCACGTGTAGTGAGGGCCTGTACATTATAGCATAAAGTTTAACGGTTAAACGCTACAAATTATGAGATTCTAAAAAAACAAACTTACCTACTCTTCGCGCCGCACGTCCTTTATGAAGGTGACGACCGCAGGAAGGTCGGGAAATACTTCCCTGCGGCCCTGGCCCTTCAGGGACTTAGAGGTGGAGTGGCCAGTGAAGCTAAAAAGCTTTTCAGCTTGCTTCCACCAGCCATGGACAGTGCCCCGAGCAAGTTGGAGCTCGCGGGCTGCCTCCTCCACCCCTACATCTTCGACGAGGCGGACCGCTTCGCGCTTCTGGCGGACGGTGTAGCTCTTCTGCTTCTTCTTGGGCGGCGGCGTGTCCTCCATAGCTCGAAAAACAGTTTGAGCGGCTCAGTCGACCAGCTCCAAATTAG